GCTTTAAGTGATACATTAAACAAGATGGACTTAATTGATATTTACAGGACATTCCATCCAAAAACAACAGAATACACATTTTTCTCAAGTGCTCATGGAACATTCTCCAGGATAGATCATATCTTGGGTCACAAATCAAGCCTTGGTAAATTTAAGAAAATTGAAATTGTATCAAGTATCTTTTCCGACCACAATGCTATGAGACTAGATATCAATTACAGGAAAAGATCTGTAAAAAATACAAACACATGGAGGCTAAACAATACAATACTTAATAATGAAGTAATCACTGAAGAAATCAAAGAGGAAATTAAAAAATACCTAGAAACAGATGACAATGGAGACACGATGACCCAAAATCTACAGGATGCAGCCAAAGCAGTTCTATGAGGGAAGTTTATAGCAATACAATCCTACCTTAAGAAGCAGGAAACATCTAGAATAAAATACCTATCCTTGCACCTAAAGCAATTAGAGAAAGAAGAACAAAAAAACCCTAAAGTTAGCAGAAGGAAAGAAATCATAAAAATCATATCAGGAATAAATGAAAAAGAAATGAAGGAAACGATAGCAAAGATCAATAAAACTAAAAGCTGTTTCTTTGAGAAGATAAACAAAATAGATAATCCATTAGCCAGACTCATCAAGAAAAAAAGGGAGAAGACTCAAATCAATAGAATTAGAAATGAAAAAGGAAAAGTAACAACTCACACTGCAGAAATACAAAAGATCATGAGAGATTACTACAAGCAACTCTATGCCAATAAAATGGACAATCTGGAAGAAATGGACAAATTCTTAGAATTGTACAACCTGCTGAGACTGAATCAGGAAGACATAGAAAATATGAACAGACCAATCACAAGCATTGAAATTGAAACTGTGATTAAAAATCTTCCAACAAACAAAAGCCCAGGACCAGATGGCTTCACAGGTGAATTCTATCAAACATTTAGAGAAGAGCTAACACCTATCCTTCTCAAACTCTTCCAAAACATAGCAGAGGGAGGAAGACTCCCAAACTCATTCTACAAGGCCACCATCACCCTGATACCAAAACCAGACAAGGATGTCACAAAGAAAGAAAACTACAGGCCAATATCAGTGATGAATATAGATGCAAAAATCCTCAACAAAATACTAGCAAACAGAATCCAACAGCACATTAAAAGGATCATACACCATGATCAAGTGGGGTTTACTCCAGGAATGCAAGGATTCTTTAATATATGCAAATCAATCAATGTGATAAACCATATTAACAAACTGAAGGAGAAAAACCATATGATCATCTCAATAGATGCAGAGAAAGCTTTCAACAAAATTCAACACCCATTTATGACATAAACCCTGCAGAAAGCAGGCAAAGAGGGAACTTTCCTCAACATAATAAAGGCCATATATGACAAACCCACAGCCAACATTGTCCTTAATGGTGAAAAACTGAAAGCATTTCCACTAACATCAGGAGCAAGACAAAGTTGCCCACTCTCACCACTCCTATTCAACATAGTTTTGAAAGTTTTAGCCACAGCAATCAGAGAAGAAAAGGAAATAAAAGGAATCCAAATCGGAAAAGAAGTAAAGCTGTCACTGTTTGCAGATGACATGATACTATACAAGGAGAATCCTAAAGATGCTACCAGAAAACTACTAGAGCTAATCAATGAATTTGGTAAAGTAGCAGGATACAAAATCAATGCACAGAAATCTCTGGCATTCCTATATACTAATGAAAAATCTGAAAGTGAAATCGAGAAAACACTCCCATTTACCATTACAACAAAAAGAATAAAATATCTAGGAATAAACCTACCTAAGGAGACAAAAGACCTGTATGCAGAAAATTATAAGACACTGATGAAAGAAATTAAAGATGATACAAATAGATGGAGAGATATACCATGTTCTTGGATTGGAAGAATCAACATTGTGAAAATGACTCTACTACCCAAAGCAATCTACAGATTCAATGCAATCCCTATCAAACTACCACTGGCATTTTTCACAGAACTAGAACAAAAAATTTCACAATTTGTATGGAAACACAAAAGACCCCGAATAGCCAAAGCAATCTTGAGAACAAAAAATGGAGCTGGAGGAATCAGGCTGCCTGACTTCAGACTATACTACAAAGCTACAGTAATCAAGACAGTATGGTACTGGCACAAAAACAGAAAGATAGATCAATGGAATAGGATAGAAAGCCCAGAGATAAACCCACGCACATATGGTCACCTTATCTTTGATAAAGGTGGCAGGAATATACAGTGGAGAAAGGACAGCCTCTTCAATAAGTGGTGCTGGGAAAACTGGACAGGTACATGTAAAAGTATGAGATTAGATCACTCCCTAACACCATACACAAAAATAAGCTCAAAATGGATTAAAGACCTAAATGTAAGGCCAGAAACTATCAAACTCTTAGAGGAAAACATAGGCAGAACACTCTATGACATAAATCACAGCAAGATCCTTCTTGACCCATCTCCTAGAGTAATGGAGATAAAAACAAAAATAAACAAATGGGACCTAATGAAACTTCAAAGCTTTTGCACAGCAAAGGAAACCATAAACAAGACCAAAAGACAGCCCTCAGAATGGGAGAAAATATTTGCAAATGAATCAACTGACAAAGGATTAATCTCTAAAATTTACAGGCAGCTCATGCAGCTCAATAACAAAAAAATAAACAACCCAATCCAAAAATGGGCAGAAGACCTAAATAGACATTTCTCCAAAGAAGATATACAGACTGCCAACAAACACATGAAAGAATGCTCAACATCATTAATCATTAGAGAAATGCAAATCAAAACTACAATGAGATATCATCTCACACCAGTCAGAATGGCCATCATCAAAAAATCTAGAAACAATAAATGCTGGAGAGGGTGTGGAGAAAAGGGAACACTCTTGCACTGCTGGTGGGAATGTGAATTGGTTCAGCCACTATGGAGAACAGTATGGAGGTTCCTTAAAAAACTACAAATAGAACTACCATATGACCCAGCAATCCCACTACTAGGTATATACCCTGAGGAAACCAGAATTCAGAAAGAGTCATGTACCAAAATGTTCATTGCAGCTCTATTTACAATAGCCCGGAGATGGAAACAACCTAAGTGCCCGTCGTCGGATGAATGGATAAAGAAGATGTGGCACATATATACAATGGAATATTACTCAGCCATAAAAAGAAACGAAATTGAGCTATTTGTAATGAGGTGGATAGACCTAGAGTCTGTCATACAGAGTGAAGTAAGTCAGAAAGAGAAAGACAAATACCGTATGCTAACACATATATATGGAATTTAAGAAAAAAAAATGTCATGAAGAACCTAGGGGTAAGACAGGAATAAAGACACAGACTTACTAGAGAATGGACTTGAGGACATGGGGAGGGGAAGCTGTGACAAAGCGAGAGAGAGGCATGGACATATATACACTACCAAACGTAAGGTAGATAGCTAGTGGGAAGCAGCCACATAGCACAGGGAGATCAGCTCGGTGCTTTGTGACCACCTAGGGGGTGGGATAGGGAGGGTGGGAGGGAGGGAGATGCAAGAGGGAAGAGATATGGGAACATATGTATAACTGATTCACTTTGTTATAAAGCAGAAACTAACACACCATTGTAAAGCAATTATACTCCAATAAAGATGTAAAAAAAAAAAAGGGTAGAAGATATTAATAGACATTTCTCCAAAGATATACAGATGGCCAAAAAGCACATGAAAAGATGCTTAACATCACTAATTATTAGAGAAATGCAAATCAAAACTACAATGAGGTATCACCTCACACTGGTCAGAATGGCCACCATCAAAACATCTACAAACGGGCTTCCCTAGTGGCAATGGTTGCGAGTCCGCCTGCCGACGCAGGGGACACAGGTTCGTGGCCTGGTCCGCGAAGATCCCACATGCCGCGGAGCGGCTGGGCCCATAAGCCATGGCTGCTGAGCCTGCGCATCTGGAGCCCGTGCTCCGCAACGGGAGAGGCCACAACAGTGAGAGGCCCGCGTACCACCAAAAAAAAAAAAAAAAATCTACAAACAATAAATGCTGGAGAGGGTGTGAAGAAAAGGGAACCCTCCTACACTGTTGGTGGGAATGTACAGCCACTATGGAGAACAGTATGGAGATTCCTTAAAAAACTAAAACTAGAGCTACCATTTGATCCAGCAATTCCACTCCTGTTCAATGTTCTTTGCAGCCCTATTTACAACAGCCAGGACATGGAAGTAACCTAAATGTCCATCAACAGAGGAATGGATAAAGATGTGGTACATATATACAATGGAATATTACTCAGCCATAAAAAAGAATGAAATAATGCCATTTGCAGCGACATGGATGGACCTAGAGATTGTGATACTGAGTGAAAGTAAGTCAGAAAGAGAAAAATAAATATCATATATTATCACTTATATGTGGAATTTTAAAAATGGTACAAATGAACCTATTTACAAAATAGAAGTTGAGTCACTGATGTAGAAAACCAACTTGTGGTTACCGGGGGGAAAAGGCAGGGGGATAAACTGGGAGACTGGGATTCACATACACACAGTACTATACACAGAACGGATAATTAATAAGAACCTACTGAATAGCACAGGGAACTCTATTCAATACTTTGTAATATGGGAATAGAATCTAAAAATGTAAGTGCATGTATAACTGACTCACTTTGCTTGCTGTACAGCAGAAACAAAACACTGTTAATCAACTATACTCCAATAAAAAAAATTTTTTTAAATCATCATTGAATCTTGTCGTTGGGTAGCAGGGTCTAAGCTAAAAACACTTAAAATAGGACAGATAAACAAAACCCCCGTTAGCCACAGAGAGACAAAAGAGATGGGAAAAGCACAAAGATGAACTACATTCCTAAGACAGAAGTGCTGATGTTCTTTTGTCCCCCTGATGGCAGCCTCCCCAGCCTTGTCCTGGAGTGGAGTGGGCAGCTCAGACAGCCAGTGCTCCTGGTCCTCTCACCATGTAGTATCCTGGAAGCAGCTTCTGCAGAAACTCCGCCTCTTTGTGCTGGACTGTTTTAATGATGAATTCATCATCGCTGGACACATAGAAGAGGGAACCACTAGCCCCAGAGTTGCAGAGTTCAATCAGCGGCTCATTGCAGAGGGAGTACTGGGCCCAGAGAAAAGAGAGCAAGAGGTTCAGAGATACAAGGGCATGCCCAACCAGAAATCAACTACAGATGCAATTCTATTCTAAAGAAAAACTAGAGCAAGAGTGTGGAGAGAGGGTCTTCCTTTGGAAGTATCCCTCTGATACTGGAGTCCCAGGGTCCTGAAATCTGGAAGCTTACCAAGTAATCATCAGGGCGGATACCAAATAACTCCCGAAAGTAGCGGAAGGCAACAGGTGCATAGGTCTTGAACCGAAAGTCATTGTAGTGATGAGCAGGAGTCAGGTTGCTCCCTTCACTGTGGGGTTGAACAGAAGAAGCCATAACTTACCAGTCCCTGTAATTTAGGGAGTCCACACCCTGGAAAGACACTCAGTCACCCAGAGGCAGGTCAATACATCCCTCCTGAGAGAACCAAAGGGACTGGATGAGTCAGTTACATAATGGGACAAGGCACAACATGGGGATTAAGACATGGGCACAGGGAATCACATTACCTCCTCCCGATGCACTAAATTGTTTTTTAGGGCTCAGTCCACAGGCCGGAGGCTCATGGAAACATCCAAAGGAGAGCATGTGCCCTTCAAATTCTCCAGTCCCCATATCACCCTGATTAAAATCAGGTTAAGGATTGGATGCATGCCTAAATTAGACATGAACCCTAAAATGCCCTGATGATGATATAAAAAAGCCACATTTTCTAGGACATTCCCCTGAACATTAAACTCTGTACCTCGGGAAGAAGATACTCTCCACCACATAGAAGTCTTGCATGAGGACATCCCGCTCTGGTTTGGTACTCAGGCTCCCCACAGTGTGAGTAATGCCTAACTGGATGGCACCTTTTAAAGCTGACGAGGTTGTCTGAGAAACAAGAGGAAAGTTTCTAGTATTAAATCTGATCATAGCAATAAAAACTCAGGAGAGAAGAACCGGAAGGAACACGGGAGAGCAAATGCCTATCTAGTAGTTCAGACTAAACTGGGGCAATCCAGTTTCCCCATCCCCACGCTCTACATGGCAATTAAGCCTGCAAAGATTGGAAGAGCATGAAGATACAGAATAGCAAAGTGGGGACTCTCTAAACAAGGTGTTCCCTCCTATCCACATCTATATCTGGAAGATACGTTGTACTGAGAGAACAATCCTAGGTCTCACTCCAAAGGTTCCTGCCCCCAGAGTATATGGAGTCCTCCAAACATTTTATTCACCTGATAGAGAATGTAACTAAAATTAACTGATACTCTGATTCACTGCCTAGCTACTGAAGCTCAGTTCTCTAAGGCAAGGGCTGACTGGCGTTCCAAGGACAACTGAGTGGCAAAAAAAGCTCCTGACTGAAGAAGAAAGCCTGAAAGATTCAAATTATTTCTGAGAGAAGTATTTAGATTTAAAATTATCATACTGTGGTCAAAACACAAATATAAGAGCCCCACTCTTACAATCCAGGATTTCAATGTCATGGGAAAATGTCATATTATCTAGTTCTGTGCTGTCCAATATAGTAGCTACTAGCTACACTCAGCTATTTAATTTTAAGTTACAGTTAATTTAATTTAAAAATCATTTCTTCAGTCTTACTAGCCACATTCAGGTATGATTAGTGGCTACCACACTGGATAACACAGATATAGCACATTTCAATCACTGTAGAAAGTTCTATTGGACAGTTTTGTTCTAAGTGATTTCCCTTATCCCCCCAACCCTCACCAAATATTACTTGTATCAATATTCTACCTAGTCCTCATTGGGCATTAAAATTATAACTAGGGACTTCCCTGGTGGTCCAGTGGTTAAGAATCCACCTCCCAACGCAGGGGATGCGGGTTCGACCCCTGGCTGGGGAACTAAGATCCCACATGCCATGGGGCAACTAAGCCCATATGCTCTGAAGCCCACGTGCCACAACTAGAGAGAAGCCCGTGAGCCAGAGCGAAGCGCCTGCACATCACAACGAAAGATACCGTGTGCCACAGCTAACACCCAATGCAGCCAAATAAATAAATATTTTTAAAAATAAGAATAGGGGTTTCCCTGGTGGCACACTGCTTGAGAATCCACCTGCCAATGCAGGGGACACGGTTTTGAGCCCTGGTCCGGGAAGATCCCACATGCCACAAAGCAACTAAGCCCATGCACCACAACTACTGAGCCTGCACTCTAGAGCCCATAAGCCACAACTACTGAGCCCACGCACAACTACTGAAGCCCACATGCCTCGAGCCTGTGTTCTGCAACAAGAGAAGCCACCGCAGTGAGAAGCCTGCATACTGCAATGAAGAGTAGCCCCTGCTTGCCACAGCTAGAGAAAGCCCATGCACAGCAACGAAGACCAAACGTGGCCAAAAAAGTTGAACACTTAAAAAAATTTAAAAATTAAAAATAAGAATATTTTTTAAAAATAAATAAAATTATAACAAATTTTTTAAGTGCTTGCCTCTCCAATTAGACTAGAAACTCATCTTTTTGTCTCAGTGTTCAGCACATAAAAAGAGCTCAATAAATGTCTGTTTAATTGACATGGGCCTCAGAGTCCATTCCCAGGGAGAGTTAAGTCCCTGACTGAGAATGAGTCAGTCCACCTCTATCACTTCGGACAATGCAATAAAGACAGAGAACAAACACAAGAAGAATTTACATGGGCCAGACAAGGTATAGATGCCAAATAGGAGGTTGAACACTGTACCCCAGGAAACCTAAGCATCTCCAATTAGTCGAGAACCGGGGAATTGGGTCACTCCAGGATGCTTCTCTCCTGTTTTCCCTTCACCAGTTCAATTTTCTCTTCTTGGCTATTACTACTATCTTTCCAATCCATCTGATATCTCTAGCTCAAAATCAGGTATTCTAGGCCCTATTCACCAACTGAAACTACAATCTTAAAAAAACAAAACCCATGGACTTCCCTGGTGGTCCAGTGGGTAAGACTCCATGCTCCCAATGCAGGGGGCCCAGGTTCGATCCCTGGGTGGGGAACTAGATCCCACATGCATGCCACAACTGAGAGTCCACATGCCGCAACTAAGAGCCTGCACGCCACAACTAAGAGCCCGCATGTCACAATTAAGAGTCCACATGCCACAACTAAGAAACCCACATGCTGCAAATAAAGATCCCACATGCCACAACTAAAGATCCCGCATGCCACAATGAAGACTCTGTGTGCCACAACTAAGACCCAGCACAGACAAAAAACAAAACAAAACATACACACAAAGAAAAATTCTTGACCTGCTGTCTATCTCTATCACCAAGCTGAATGGGATCCAGCCTTCACTTTATGTACATCCATCACAAGAGACATGGTTCCCTAAAGCTAGGTAAGAATGGCCTTGGGGGCTTATTACATGTTTATATCTAACAGGGAAACACAATTTCTTCAGCTCAGTGAAAAAGCATCCAACACCAGATTTGTTCATTAAGAACATTCTCATTTAAACACATATACAGGGACTTCCTTGGTGGCACAGTGGTTAAGAATCCGCCTGCCAATGCAGGGTACACGGGTTCCATCCCTGGTCCAGGAAGATCCCACATGCCACAGAGCAACTAAGCCTGTGTGCCACAACTACTGAGCCCATGTGCCACAACTACTGAAGCCTGCGCGCCTAGAGCCCATGCTCCGCAACAAGAGAAGCCACCACAATGAGAAGTCCATGCACCGCAATGAAGAGTAGCCCCCTGCTCGGTGCAACTAGAGAAAGCTGGCGAGCAGCAACAAAGACCCAACACAGCCAAAAACAAAAACAAAAACGAAAACAAACAAAACGAAAAACACATATACAGGGCTTCCCTGGTGGCACAGTGGTTAAGAATCCGCCTGCCAATGCAGGGGACATGGGTTTGAGCCCTGGTCCGGGAAGATCCCACATGCTGCAGAGCAACTAAGCCCGTGCGCCACAACTACTGAGCCTGTGCTCTAGAGCCCATGAGCCACAACTACTGAGCCTGTGCACCACAACTACTGAAGCCCACGCGTCTAAAGCCCGTGTTCCACAACTAGAGAAACCACCGCAATAAGAAGCCCGTGCACCGCAACGAAGAGTAGCTCCCACTCGCCACAACTAGAGAAATCCCGCGCGCAGCAATGAAGAGCCAACGCAGCCAAAGATAAAATAAATAAATTTATAAAACAAAACAAAACCCATATATACAGATGGGAAATAATTTACCCTTTGTGAAGTAAATTCTAAAGTTCAAGTTGCGGGGCTTCCCTGGTGGCACAGTGGTTGGGAATCCGCCTGCCAATGTAGGGGACACGGGTTCGAGCCCTGGTCCGGAAGGATCCCACATGCCACAGAGCAACTGTGCCCATGTGCCACAGCTACCAAGCCTGTGCTCTGGAGCCACAAGCTACAGCTACTTAGCCGTGCACCACAACTGCTGGGGCCCATGCGCCTGGAGCCCATGCTCCACAGCAAGAGAGGCCACCGTAGTAAGAGGCCCATGCGCCGCAGGAGAAGAGTGGCCCCCGCTCGCCGCAACTAGGGAAAGCCCACGCACAGCAACAAAGACCCAACGCAGCCAAAAATAAATAAAAATAAAATAAATTAATTAAATTTATAAAAAATAAAAAAGTTCAAGTTGTATGATGGCTATTGTGCAAAGGTTTAGCGTATCAAGAAATGGGATGGAATGTGGAGAATAATATCAAGGAGACAGAACTATCCCTTCCTGGAGTAAGATGAATGGGTTTCACCCAGACACACCTTTTTATATGTTGTCTCTCCTGAGGAATCAACACCTCGGTGGCCTATTTTCTTCATGGGCATGCTAGAGGCATAAGGCACCTAGAATAAGAAGAGTCAAGATTAGTACATGATTCCCATGTAACACACCAAACGGCTACCACGATGGTAAATCAAAAAAAACAAAACATGCAACACACCCTTTTTAGGTTAAGAACGTTTTATAAAATCTTCAGAAGATCCCTCCCATGCAAACACACAGCTATAGTGTTGCTCCCCAAAGAACTACACTGACTAAAAGAACACGAAGAAAACTCCAAAGGACACATATTTCACCTTTGGTTCTCAGAAAGATGACATAGAAAATTAAAATGATTATCATTAAAGAAAAGGAGAAACAGGGGAAGTAAGCAATAGCAGCCCCAGAAAAAAGGAAAGACCCTCAGTTTACAAAAGCAAGACAGAAGTAGAGCTCCACAGACCCAGCTTCCTTTCAGAAACTACTACCCCTCTAATATTCAACCCGACCTGAACACTATTTGCTCAAACTGAATTCACCAGCAGAAATGATCTAGCCACTGGCAAATGCAAGTACTGCGAGCCCAAGTATTAAAAGGCTGTGGCAGGGCTTCCCTGGTGGTGCAGTGGTTGAGAGTCCGCCTGCCAATGCGGGGGACACAGGTTTGTGCCCCGGTCCGGGAAGATCCCACATGCCGCGGAGCGGCTGGGTCCGTGAGCCATGGCCGCTGAGCCTGCGCGTCTGGAGCCTGTGCTCCGCGACGGGAGGGGCCACAGCAGTGAGAGGCCCGCGTACCGCAAAAAAAAAAAAAAGAAAAAAAGGCTGTGGCAATAAGATGAATCCTCTAAGATAAGGGCCTCAGTGCCTCAAAGAGATTCCTGAGAACGTGGTATGGCTTTGTTTTCTACTCACATACATCACAGCCTCTGAAAAAAGGAAGAAGTAAAACCAGTGGAGCGGAGGCTAGAAGGCTATTCTCCACAGCCAAGATGCCAGCACAACAGACATGAAGGTATTCTTCATGATGTCGATACTCAAGTTAACAAGCCAGAAGGCAAAAAGACTACTGAAAATAGCATGTTACCATCTTAGGGCCTGATATTTAAGTTCTACTCTTCTTGCTAAGACCCTTAGTGCCAGAAAACCCTCAGTATATAACCTGACAGATCTTGGAAGATGTTCTGAGAAAAAAGCCTAAAATCCTACGCCAAAATGGTCCGCACTCTGAGGTCCCGTCACAAAACCCAGGAAAGATGCAAGAAGTAAAAAGAGGAATGGGAAATACTCTGTGGGAAGAAAATTAAGCAGATACTCTGCACAAAAGAGAAAAACTTAGAATATCAACAGCTTCAGTACGGTTAAAAGAAGTTCGCCACATTCACTGAAGCTACGCAGTCAGGATGTATTAACAGCAAAACAAGAGAACGAGCTTTAGTGTCAGACTAGCTTTGAATCCTAACCTTATTAATTACAGGACCTTGGGCAAGCTACAGAACCTCTAATCTTCACTTTTTCATCTATAAAACATGGATAACAAACAACAGTACCTACACTCATAGAGGCTCTTTGCAGGATTAAATAAGAATACCTATAAAGAGCACTTAGGTACCTTATTTACTCTTTGGTACATTAAAAAAAGCTCAGGGGCTTCCCTGGTGGCACAGTGGCTGGGAGTCCGCCTGCC